TACATTACACATAATTTTTCACAAAGCTACAATAAGCAGTTGTACTGTAATTACAAATGAAATCTATTGTTTTTGTTCCCTGTAAGCATAAAATTGAGCATATATCACAAAAATAATATTTATCGTGGTTTCCATTGGCAAAGAGTTTAATTTCAGAAGGTGAGGCCCTGTATTTTATCAGGCAAAGAAGGGGAAGTGTTGTGGTTGCTGCTGTCTGTTCTTTAATCATAAAAATATGTCCACTGCATTAGAGTCTCCCACAAAGCCACACCTGTCTGTAAGTATTTATGCAGTGGGACGCTGGCTCTCACTGTCTGGAAACAGGCCAGGTTGAGTAACATCGCTGCACAGACACGCCTCAATAACCAAGTCTGGTTTTGATTATATTTCATACACCAGTGAGCCAACCTAGCAGGCAAGTGAGCCACAGGACGTCGACGCCTGCCATCTTGGGGCAAATAAATCCATAAATATTGAGCAAGGAAAATGAAATTGTATTTGTAACCTTTTCATATTGAGCCTGTTTTCTCAAAAGGGAATTTAGGACAATTGACTTTTGCCAGGCTTCTCTTCATATAGTGATTTCAAAATAACCCAGGTCTGGATTCCTTCTGTACCATCGATGGATTTTCTTGACTTGTTCAGATAAGAGCTTAACATATCACTTGTGGTACGGTTTAGAGGTCAATGCCAGACTTGACCCTTACTTATCTTTTTGGGTTTTCATTAGATGATGGAGAGATAGCACTCAGTTATATAAAAATGAACAGACAAACCCAGAAGTCTGCATTCTGTCTGTCCCTTCTGTTTATAGTGTTAATTATTTTTTGGTTGAAAAAGGACTTTTTTTTCTTTTTTGGTGGTACTGGGGTTTGAACTCAGGGACTTATGCTTGCTAGGCAGGTGCTCTACCACTTGAGCCACTCCACCAGCCCTTTTTTGTGATGGGTTTTTCAAGATAGGGTTTCAGGAACTATTTGCCCAGGCTGGCTTTGAACCGGGATCCTACTGATCTCTGCTTCCTGAGTAGCTACGAGTAGCCACTGGCACCCAGCTCATGTCTGCTTAGATGTGAGCATCCGGGTGGAAAGAGACCTTTCGGGCCTGCCCCAGGTCAACTACTGGCTGAGCCGTGGGCTCTGTGGATGTGGCTTGCCAGCTGGACTTGAGGTTGCCTCTTGCTTGTGTTCTGAGCCCAGGAAGTAAGTGATTTTTGATCCTTTTAGGAATCGCTACCCTTATTAGAATTTCTTCTGTTTGCATTGATAGTCTTTTTAAAAAACAAAACGAAAATAAACAACGTGGTCTCTTTGTGTCTTTGTAATGCAGCCCTGGCAAGCTGTCTTGGAACTTGTGATCCTCCTGCCCCAGCCTCCTGATGCTGGGATTGCAGGTGTGTGCTACCACACCTGGCTTTTGATAGCTTTTCTAATCTAAAACTATTTGTGGTTTTAGCTTAGTCTATAGCTGCCTTTTTCCTTCACGTGTGTCACAGTCTGATTCTCTGCAGCCCAGTGGGGGCATAGGTTCCTTGGTCCCCAAACAAATGTGCAGTCCCAAGTCCAGTGCCTCAAGCGTGGTAGGCAAGCTCTTACCGCTGAGCTGCATGCCCAGGCCTGCTCTGAGCACATGTTCCCCATAGTACTGCTGTTTGGGGCCTAAGTCTGTCGCCAGAAGCCTCATGGCACTTGTGTTTAGTTCATTAAGGTATAGAGGCTATATGGCAGTGGTTCCAGAACCTACTGTGAGCAGAAGGCTTGTGGAAAGTTCTTACCATGCAACTGGCTAAGGATTTGTCTTGAAAGCAGCATTTTGGGTTTATGTGTCTCTAGTGATGACTTTAGGCTCTATTCTGATTCCCCTTTATGAATCAAACTCCCCCCCACTGACGTGGGCCAATGTGGGCTACCATGCCATGCGAGAGGTCTCCCCAGGGTCCCCACACCCTCCTACGGAGCTCTCCCCGCAGCACAGCTCAGGACATGGGGCCCTGCTGTGGTCCCGCCTGGCTCCCCTCGCCTTTCCGGTGGAAGTGTAACCGAGCCAAAGGGGTAGCTCAGGTGCCCAACCTCAGCTTCTGATTTCACACGGCTGCTGTGGTCACCTTCCCCGCAAAAGCTGGCGTCTTTCTTAACCAGTGGGGAAGGGATTTTCAAAGCTCTTTCTCTGTTTTTTAAGGCTTGCTAGTTCAAGGACTCCTTGCGTGACCTCCTGTCTGCTGCGTGGTGCCTCGAGTGGGACTGTCTAGGTTTGGGGGCCTCTGGTTCTAAGTGTTAAATATAAACTGAGCCTCGTGTACCTGTGCCAGACCTCTTTCCAGACCTCCCATCACCTGCACAGGGCGAGGGTCTCATCTCTCTCTTCCACGTGCTGCCTCCCCCCTGGCAGGGCCGCTTCAACCTAGCTTGTGAGACAAGGCCAAAGGGGACCAGCACACCCTGTTTAACGCCATGGCCACATTGCCTAAGGGACAGTGCTGTGTCCCTACACATATAGGTGTGCAGAGGGCAGGGCCGTGACTTCTGTTCACTGTTATCTAGTCAGTTAATCATTTTCTGCATTTACTTGGAATAGTTAGGTCACACATTTTGGGGCTCCCTTCCCCAAGGACTGTATATTTTGGTCACTTAAGAGAACACCGTTGGCATCCATGTGGCCCCTCCACCACTGAGCAGTGGACTTCCTGCTCTGCTCCTCCTTCCACCTGCATCTCAGCATGATTGTCAAGAGAGTTCTGCCCCGATTCTCAGTGAAATGGAGAGGGGAACTCCTCTCTCTCTGGTAGTTGTGTGCTGTTCCACCAGGACGAACCACAAGGAGAGTAAGTTAGTGTCTTGGCCAGTACACCCACCAGCTATATGCCAGGGGTCACTGTCCCCTGTATGCTAGGAGGTGTGGAGAGCCTCACCTGGGCTGGAGATTTGTCTGTCCCCTGGGGAAGGAATCTGCCCCCTGTGCCATTTTGGGTCTCACTCCTGCCCTTCCTCCTCCCTCCTCCCTGCTCTTCCTCCTCCCTTCTTTCTCTCCTCCTTTTCCTTCCTTCCTTCCATCCTTCCTTCCTTCCTTCTGTCCTTCCTTCCTTCCTTCTGTCCTTCCTTCCATCCTTCCTTCCTTCCTTCCGTCCTTCCTTCCATCCTTCCTTCCTTCCGTCCTTCCTTCCTTCCTTCCGTCCTTCCTTCCTCCTTCCTTCCTTCCTTCCTTCCTCCCGTCCTTCCTTCCTTCCTTCCGTCCTTCCTTCCTCCTTCCTTCCTTCCTTCCTTCCGTCCTTCCTTCCTCCTTCCTTCCTTCCTTCCTTCCGTCCTTCCTTCCTTCCTTCCATCCTTCCTTCCTTCCTTCCGTCCTTCCGTCCTTCCTTCCTTCCTTCCTTCCTTCCTTCCTTCCTTCCTTCCTTCCTTCCTTCCTTCCTTCCTCCTTTCTTCTTTCATCCTTCCTTCCTTCCTTCCTTCCATCCTTCCTTCCTTCCTTCCTTCCTTCCTTCCTTCTTCATCTTCCTTCCTTCCTTCCTTCCTCCTTCCTCCTTCTTCTTTCCTCCTTCCTTCCGTCCTTCCTTCCTCCTTCCTTCCTTCCTTCCTTCCGTCCTTCCTTCCTTCCTTCCTTCCGTCCTTCCTTCCTCCTTCCTTCCTTCCTTCCTCCTTCCTTCCTTCCTTCCTTCCTTCCTTCCTTCCGTCCTTCCTTCCTCCTTTCTTCTTTCATCCTTCCTTCCTTCCTTCCATCCTTCCTTCCTTCCTTCCTTCCTTCCTCCTTTCTTCTTTCATCCTTCCTTCCTTCCTTCCTTCCTCCTTCCTCCTTTCTTCTTTCATCCTTCCTTCCTTCCGTCCTTCCTTCCTCCTTCCTTCCTTCCTTCCTTCCTTCCGTCCTTCCTTCCTTCCTTCCTTCCTTCCTTCCTTCCTCCTTCCTTCCTTCCTTCCGTCCTTCCTTCCTTCCGTCCTTCCGTCCTTCCTTCCTTCCTTCTTTCCTTCCTTCCGTCCTTCCTTCCTTCCTTCCATCCTTCCTTCCTCCTTTCTTCTTTCATCCTTCCTTCCTTCCTTCCTTCCATCCTTCCTTCCTTCCTTCCTCCTTTCTTCTTTCATCCTTCCTTCCTTCCTTCCATCCTTCCTTCCTCCTTTCTTCTTTCATCCTTCCTTCCTTCCTTCCTTCCCTCCTTCCTCCTTTCTTCTTTCATCCTTCCTTCCTTCCTTCCATCCTTCCTTCCTTCCTTCCTTCCTTCCTCCTTTCTTCTTTCATCCTTCCTTCCTTCCTTCCATCCTTCCTTCCTTCCTTCCTTCCTCCTTCTTCTTTCATCCTTCCTTCCTTCCTTCCATCCTTCCTTCCTTCCTTCCTCCTTTCTTCTTTCATCCTTCCTTCCTTCCTTCCTTCCTTCCTTCCTTCCTCCTTCTTCTTTCATCCTTCCTTCCTTCCTTCCATCCTTCCTTCCTTCCTTCCTTCCTCCTTTCTTCTTTCATCCTTCCTTCCTTCCTTCCTTCCTTCCTTCCTTCCTTCCATCCTTCCTTCCCTCCTTCCTCCTTTCTTCTTTCATCCTTCCTTCCTTCCTTCCTTCCTTCCGTCCTTTCCTTCCTTCCTTCCTTCCTTCCTTCCGTCCTTCCTTCCTTCCTCCTTTCTTCTTTCATCCCCAGGGCCCGGGAATACTCTTTTTCCACTCACAGATGTGCATTCCCACCGCCGAGGGGCAGCAGGTGCCCAGGAGCTCTGCCCGGCAGGTTTGCCAGCTGAGCTCCGGTAACGCTTCCACTAACACAGCTGTTGAACTGGAAAACTGCATTGGTCTAATTGGAAGGACATCTTTCTTTGTGCATCTGCCTTGTAAATGCTTCACTTTTAATGGCACACTCACTAAAAGCAGAAACCCTGTGTTCCGAAGGAGTGATGCGTCTTGCACAGCTGTGCAGGTGGCTTTTAACTATGTCTTCAGAAAGAAATTTAATGACTTACTTTGTTTCTAAAAAAGCATAAGATGGACAATCAAACTCACCTTTCTTTTCTTTTTTCCTTTCTTTCAAAAGCCACATGCTAAGGGTAAGATCTATGTCCAGAGCCAAGGTAAGAATTTATAAATGTATACTTTATATTTTAACAGACTTAGAGATAAACACGGAAATGTGTATGGATGACATATGTGATTTCTGAGATTCACTTAGACATAATGAGAATGGGTACCTTTCACTGTTTTCTAACATCAGAACAGGAGAAATGGTAAAAGAATAAAACAGGTCATGTCACATGGTCCACCTGAACAAGTACAATGTACCACACCCTTGGTACCCTTACAAAAGTGCTGAGCTCCTCTCGGCTGAGTTGAGCTGGGGACCTGGACTGTTCCCCGCCCGCCTCACCCTCCTGTCCTCACCCAGTCCTGCCTGATGGTGGCGGCCCTCACTCACTCTTGCAAACCCCAGCTCTGCCCAGCAGAGAGTGGAAAGACGAGGCTCAGAGGGGGACAGGTGGCCCATTCCAAGCCCAGATGCTGAGGTCAAGGCCAGGGGCTTAGGCTGCCTCGGGCCTTTCCTGTGCTTAACACCAGAGCTCCTGGGCCCTGTAGATCCTTCTTGGTTGGTCATTGCATCACTGTGGTAAAATCGCTGTAGTGTTTGCAATGATCTTTTTAGTAGAACCAACTTTCAAACAAACTCTTTCTTGGAGTCCCCATTGAGGAAGAGGTGTGTGAAGGTCTGGGATGTGTGAAGGGTGTGTAAAATGAAGGTCTTGCCTTGGCCATGGCCTGAGTTACTGTGGAGGGCATCTGGTTCTGGAGGATTCCCGGTTTCTAAGTAGCTGTGGCTGTGAGCACAGTGCCTGTGTCTGTGCTCAGGTGAACCCGTTTTAATTCCTTGAGCCTTGGTTTGCAGCCACATAGACTGTGGGAAGCAGCCTGCCCCGTGGGTCATAAGGTTCAGGTAGTGGATGGAAGGTATCAGCCTGCAGTCTGAGCCCTGGTCCCGCACATAAGAACTGCTGAGCAGTGCTGTCTGAGCATTCAGGGACAATGTCAATGACAGAGGTTGGTTGGTTGTTTTTTTTTTTGTAGTACTGGGATTTGAACTCAGGGCCTCATGGTTGCTAGGCAGGTGCTGTACCACTTGAGCCACTCCACCAGCCCTGTTTTGTGTTGGGTTTGTCTGAGCTAGGGTCTCACCAACCATTTAGAACTATAGATAATTTAATTTACTTAAACTACAAGACTTAATTAACACGTTACAAAACTTTGGAATTTTCCCATTGCCAAGATAACTTGCTAAATGTTGCCTCTGAATTTTCTAAATCTTTGTGTTTTAAGAAAAATTTAAACTGGGGCTGGGGACGTAGCTCAGTGGTAGAGCACTTGTCTAACACGTTCAAGATCCTGGGTTCTAATTCCAGCACCAAACAAATAATGAAGTCTGAGGAAATGGCACAGACAGCAGATGGTCACATGTGATTTGGTGAGCACTGCAGTTAGGAGTTTTAGGTAGAGATGAAGTTCTACATGAGCTGGGAGAATTTAGCTGGTAATGTCTTAGAAATCCTATATGTGCCTTCGTAAGGAATTCGAGGTTCATATGACCCGAGAGGGGACTGATGGGAACCCACGGTCACACATTAGAGCCCTGCATGGCTTTAAAAGAGCTGAGATTTCAGTGCTCACCGACTGGCTGCGTGTCAGCAGTGAATTTTCTGTTTCTTGTTCCTTTGAGCAGGGATTGTCACCACACCCAACGCTGCCTTTGACTGGGACACCTTTCTCCAGCGCTCAGGTAAGGGGTGACACCGCTCCTAGGATGGGGCCCACAGCCCTCTTCCTTAGGTCTGTCACCTGTTGCATTCTCTGGGCTCTGAAATCAAGGCTGTCACGTCACAGAAATAAAGTGGCCCAGGTGGACCAGAGGGCAGGGCAGGGCAGGAGAGCTGCATACCTCGGCTCCTGTCTGTGGCTTTGTGTGGGCTAGTGTTAGCTGTTGGCATGTCCGTCAGAATTTTAGAACCACCTTTTCAGTTCTTTAAAGTTCTGTTGATTGAATTTGTAGGTCCGTTTAGGGAGGGCCGATGGCCAACTGATAGCATGTCTTAAAAATCTGGGAGTCTGATGTGTCTGCTTGTTTATTTAAGTCTCACTTACTTTATCTTCATAACGACTTATGCAGAGCTGTCGTGCCTTTTGAAAATTTTCCTAAGTATTTTGTTGCTTTCTATGCAATTAATAGACTTCAAAAATTTAGCTTTCAAATTATTTGCTATTCATACATCTAAATACAATTGATTTTTGTATGTTGACATTCATACGTTCTCATGCCTGTATGAATTCTAGTTACCTCATGATTTTTAATTCCTTCAGGCATTATTTTGAACACCATAAACTTATTTGACCTATCTCTTTTGTTGGACATTAGATTTTTTGGAGGTACTGGGATTGGAACTCAGAGCTTTGAGCTTGTTAAGCTGGTGAGGCTCACTGCTTGAGCCACACCTCCAGCCCTGTTTGCTCTGCTTATTTTAAGATAGGGTCTCTCTTTTTGCCCAGACTGGCCTGGACAACTAAATGTTCTATTTTAAGCTTCTCAATATCCCTGGGATGATTGGGTGTGGAATCACACCCAACACTTTTATGTTAAGATGGGGTCTTGTGAACTTTTTAGCACGGGTCAGCCTGGAACTTTGACTCGTAACTGGGATGACAGTCATGCATCATGGTGCCCAGCTAATGGTTGTGATGGTGATGGTGATATTGATATTTTTGAGAATATTCTCCCACCCCTTATCCCAAACTGGCTGCAAACTGGGATCCTCCTGATCTCAGCCTCCCAAGCACCTAGGATTGCAACACTTTGATACTCAGAAAGGAGAGCAGTAGGACCTTAGGCTTCCTGGGTTTTCCCAGGCATTCTGTTAGGAGGAATTCCTAACATTGGAACTCGTGTTAGACTGTGCACTTGAACAGGGAGATTGCACCCTGGAAGACTGGCATCATCCACAGTCCCTCAACCCATGTGAAGAGCCCCCTTTTCCCCCAAAGTCTGTTTTCAGTGCAGAAACTTCAAATCTGGTCTCCAGTGCACGCTGAGTGTTAGGGTTAGTTTCCCTTGGAAAGAAAAGTCTCTGAGCATTTTATTAGAAAGAATTTTCATAGTGTGTTCATCAATCCTGGTGACAGTAGTGTGGCTGTTCTCAGAATTACAAATGAACCCACATTCTCCAATTGCTTCTTCATGTCAGAGAATGTGCGCCATGATTCAGACCGGAGGGGGACCCACTTTAAATGGCTGTCATAAAGTTATTTCTACCTTAATCAATCACAGGGCACAATTGTTGCCCAACTAGGATCTATAATTTCCCAAAGCCGAATGGTTGTCACCCAGTTCTGTAGCCTCGTGGCTGATGTCTGGGCTTGTTCTTGAGTGAGTAACAGAGGAGCCAGAAGATTTTAAATACTCCTTAGGAAATATTTCCTCTGGGGACCTGCTTGGCTGTCGTTTGATCTTAACGTGTGCAATTAGAAGTTACATTCAGAATCCATGGGCATAGGGAGCCCCTGGTGGTGACTGGTAGCTGACTACGGGACAGAATAACTCAGGGAGGAGGTAGAATTAATCTCCGGGTTTTATGATCAGGTGTCCGTTCTCATTTGTGCCATCCTTTGTCTTTGTCATGTTCCAGGCTCTGGCGATGGACCGTCTCCATCGTCCCTACTCCATCTTACCTTGGCCTCTGAGCGTTTGAAACCTGTGACTGTGATTTGTCACTTCCACTTTGAGCTTCAGACAGTGAAACCAGATGATAGGGGAATTTGATACAGACTGTTAGTCATCAAATGCCCTCAGAGTCTTCATGGGAAATGGGGTGGGAGGGTAGGGGAATTGTGAGGAGTGGAGGGGTCCCATGCAAAACGCCCACTCCATAGCCCGGAATCCGATCAATCACGTCACCAGGCTGTATCTTCTGCCTCTGGAACCTTGGCTCCAGTTTTACAGTGCTTTCTCCTGTGTAGTAAGCTGTAGGGCTCCTGACGACACTCAGTTGTAGCTCTGAGCCCCGCTAACACAGCAGTGTCTCCTTTGTTGAAAACATGGGGCCAATTTTATGCCAGCAAGATTCCACGTTCAAATGGGATCAGCCAAGAACACATAAAGAATTAAGTAGGTTAAACAGGGTGAGTGGCCTCGGGGTACCTTTCATGTGGTATTGGCAGGGCTGTTCCGATCAGAAGGTGCACATGCAGGCGCTCAGCTGCTTCCCTGGTCACTGTGGTTTCATGACACATCTGAAATGTCGCTATGATTCAGTGCGCCGAGATCCCAGTGACAAACACATCTAAAGTACTGATCCTTGCAGGCCACTGAACCCAAAACCTAGGAACAGGGAAAGCACAAAGTCCTTTGGTCCACCCCTTCCTGTTTTCCATTTTATTTCATTTCTCTTTTTATTGCTTTTTAAATCTTGCTCTCTGCTTCTATCTGTGTGTCTCTGTGCCTCTCTGTTTCTGTCTCTCCGTCTCTGTCTTTCTGTCCCTCTCTGTGTGGCTCTGTCTCTGTCTCTGTGTATGTGTCTCTCTCTGTTTCTGTCTCTTTCTCTCTCTGACTTTCTGTCTCTATCTCCATGTGTGTCTCTCTCTGTCTTTTTCTGTCTGTGTCTTTCTCTGTCTCTGTTTCTCTTTCTGTGTCTCTTTGTGCATGAGTGTGCGTCTGTCTCTTTACCTCTTAAAACACTATATGCATTCCTATCTGCAGAGTCTAATGTCGCCCCCACCCCCCACTACAGTCCTTCCATCCCTCTGGCTGTTCCTAGGAGAAGACACTTGTTTGTCATACGGAAAATGAGTGCTACCAGATCTCTTTATTCTTACACAGCCATGAAATCAGATTTTTCAGCTAAAATTCACTTAGCCTAATATGCCTGGCTGAGGGCTGAGTCCCTTTCTTCTTCTAATGTAGGTGCAGGGTAGGAACAGAGCTGCAGCACAGGGGACGAGGACAGGGCTGGAAGCAGCTCAGGGCGTGGGGCGGATCGGGCTCCACGAGTCCCACCTGGGGTCAGACAGCACCATGTTTAGCCCGTTGGTACCAATGTGGTGCCAGACCATGCAAATGACACATTTTGTTTTGAAGATAAAAATACCATTCTGCAGGAAAGGGCACGACCGGAGGGAGAGGTGGGTGCAGATGTGCCTTTGTAAGTGAGGACTCACACCTCAACTCATGTCTCAGCTGGCTTAGAGGAAAGACAGACATGAAAGTGAGTTCTGAGTTAAGATGAAGAATGAAATTCACCTAGACAGGAGGTGGTACCTGCCTCACCTCCAAGCTGCAGCAGAACCACCTGTCTTCGTGCCTTTTTAGCATTTAAGAACAAACACTGGGCTTCCTCAAGATGGCGGAGGGTGGAGGGTCTGTGATTCCCAGAGTTGGTGCCCCAGAAGGATGAGGATGAACTTGACTCTTGCCTGTATTTTCTTGAAGATGGTGCTTCCGTCTGCGGAAGTGTACACAAGCTCAACCAAATGTGGCCTCTGCATTTCATTTATAAAAAGTCCTAGAACAAGGGCCATGCTTTGTTCTGTCGTCTTCTCATTTAATTTCCTAAATTCTCATTACATTTAATTTTCAGTGCAGGAAGAAGACGTGAAAGAGGCAAGGACTATAGGATTAGCTGTGTCTGCCTCCAGGGCTTTGGGGTCAGTGGCCTCGGAACCCATTTAGCAAGGTGGGATGGGTACTTTAAAAAATTGAAACGAAATAGACTAGGCTCCATCCATCAGAGTGCTGTGCGCAAGGAAAAGCATTTCTTTAATTGTGCGTGACTCTGTGTGTCACACAAGGTGTCATGGCTCCTGGGTGCTGTATGGTTGGCATGTTTACTTTGCCACGAGTCCTGGGCAGCACACTGTGGAAATCAGAACGTCCACTGGACCAGCCTCGTCTCAGGGCTAGCTAGGCAAGGGACCTGGGACAGGGAAAATGCAGGGACAGATTGTTCCAGCCTTGTGTGACAGGGCCAACTGGTCTTCAGAGCTGTTGTTCTGAACACCTGATATGTGTCAAGGTCCCCAGCACCTGAGCGTTGACACAGTGACAGTGGCTTTGTCTGAGCTCCATCTCTGGCTATCATCCTCCTGGGATTTATTGTTTTTCACAAGTTAATGTGCAGTTATCTAATTTCTTTTCTTTTTGGTGCTTTCATGGTTCTCTTTTCTCCCTTCCTCTTCTTTTCCTCTTCTTCTGTGTATTTGCACAGGTGTCCCCACCACAGTAGGAGTGTGACTAAGTAGATCATGTGCCTTCTTAGCGCCTCACATCGAGGCTGTAATGTTGGTATGTCCCATTACTGTGGAATGTTTTGGGGAACACATGAAGTGTGTGTGCACATGTGTGAGTGTGTGTGTACACCTGGGCCTGTGTGCTGGGTTGAGGTCCCCACCTTAGTTAAGGTGGTGTCCTCCAGGCTGGGGCTGGGGCTCAAGCAGTAGGGCACCTGTCTAGCAAGTGGGAGGCCCGGAGTTCAAACCCCAGTACTGCCAAACGGAAAAAAGATGGCATCTTGCCAGTTTCTCCACACAGAGGTATTACAGTTCTGTAATTGCTGAGTGGTTTATTTTTGCAATGGTGGTGTCAGTCTCTGCCCTCATCACACCTTCTGTTTATTTAATTATTTAATTAATATTTATTAGCAATAATCCTCGTACGTGGGGGTACACTGTGACAGTTGAGTTGTGCTCACAATGTATCATAATTAGAGTCGCCCTCTCCATGGCTCTCCCTCACCCCTCTGCCCCTTCCGAGAACGATTTTCACAGCTTCTGTCCTCATACACGAATACAGAATGCAGCCTCCAAATTTGCCCCCCCTCACCTCTCCTCATGCCCTTCCCCCCATGGGTCCCCATCCCCAGACAGGACCTGGCTCACGTCCCTGTCCTTCATTGCCTCAGGGGTACGTTGATAGTTTCACCTTACTCTTTCAGACAGGTGCCTTCATCAGATCAACCCCCGGTGCCGTCTCTTTCTCTGTCGCCTGCTCCCGTCATTCACAGCTTGCAGGGCACTGAGTTCCTGTCCTCATGCACAGATGCAATGCTGCAGTGTTTTTCACACTCCACCATTCTCTTCCCTCCCCTGCTCCCCACAGCCCCTCAGACAAATTCACTAACGCAGTCATGTTCTCTTCATCTGCAACGTGAGATCATGAGATCACACGTGAGTCTATGTGCACATTTCTCTTACAGGTCCAGCTTCCACCTGTGAGGGAAAACATGCGACCTTCCATCACACTTTCTCTTGCAAGTCTCAGCATTCATTACCTAGGAGCTCGGTCGTACCCAACCTTCCTATCCTTAGGTTTTATTAAAGAGAATAGCTTATCATTTATTAAAGAGAATAGCTTGACTCCTGACCACAGAAACAAATGCCTGACTTCAAATTCTCTGACCTTGACTTCACATTCTGCACATAGCTCCCAGCACAGACTTTGGGTGAAATAAGAAACCACTAGGGTTTGTATTCTAAGGCTAGTTTCAGAGTCCTCTGAGTATTGAAGAAATAGTAAAAAAATAAAAAACCCTGACCACATCTCAGTGAAATTGTCAATGGTTAAATTCAGAGCCTGTAACAATTTTTTGGGGGGGGATGTTGGAGATTGAACCAAGCCCTATGCACGCTAAGCAAATGCTACACCCCTCCCCTTGTCATAATTTGTAAGACTTTTCTAAGGGGAACATCTCAATCTTATTACGACAGTAAAGACTTTCTGCGGTGAGTCTTGCATTCATGTTTAAAGCTTTAGTGATGGCGTTCAGCTGTTCTCAACGTCCCTACTACAGCCAGACAGACTAATTGCATTTTCGCTCAAGACTTAGAAAAACGCAGAGAAGAGAAAACAGTTTGCATTAAATAGACAGGTGCCCATCCTGGGAAAGACTGAACTTGCGTGATTCTGTGGCCAATTATACAGACTGAATTTCAAAGTTTTAAAGCAGCTTGTGTTGAGTACATTAATAATTGCTACTGCCGAGGTCTAACAGCTGTCTCAGGTTTAAAATACCCACTGCTGAGTTGCCCATGCTTTTCTGGGTGGACAGTGGCAGTTTTGTGACTCAGTGGAGTGCATGAGTGTTGGCTGAGGCCAGACAGGTCCTGCCTCAGGTCTGGGGCCTCACCCAGCCGGATGTCCCAAGGAAACAGTGTATTTGAGGTATCAGGTGAGAGTCAACACCACAGGCCTGTTCCATCCCAGGCGTGGGAGTCACACACTGGTGGTTGCCATCATTCTGTGGGCCAGTGAAGATCCCAGGTCAGCCCAGAGGCCAGAGGTGCAGGAGTGGCCCTCACTTCTCAGAGGGAAGAGCTGCTGTGACCCAGTGCACAACCAGTATTACATCACAGCAATTTTTCCAGGTGTTTTTTTTTTTAGGGGTACTGAGGTTTGAACTCAGGACTTATACCTTGAGCCACTCCATCAGCCCTTTTTTGTGATGGGTGTTTTTCAAGATAGAGTCTCGAGAACTATTTGCCCAGGCTGGCTTTGAATCTTGATTCTTTTGATCTCTGCCCCTGAGTAGCTAGGATTACAGGTGTGAGCCACCAGCAACTGGCTGCAATTTTTTTCCAGTATTTTTGAGGTGTAACTGACAAATGAAAATTGTGTCTGTATAAAGTATACGTGATGCTTTGATACGCCTGTATGTTCTTTTAGCTACACCTAACATGTGTCCTTTGAGATGTGTGGACCTACACATGCATATGCAAATTCCAGAGTACTTTAATTCCTAAGTCATTTTTCTGGTTTCATCACAAAAATGTGTCTCCTGATAGGAGCTGGGTCCAAGTACTTCCTGGAGTGTCTGGCTCCCATTTCACTAATGGCTGGGTCAGGACTCCTGGCCTCAACTTTCCTTACTGCAACAAGAGGTAACCTTGTACTGCAGAGGCTGAGCACAGCTCAGGCAAGCCCACCCTAGGGTAGGGGCTGGGGAACCAGTTCACAGCAAGGAGGCTGGGGTACAGGCTAGGCGTAGAAGACTGTCTGGAAGGCAGGGACCTCTGGTTTTGGTGCTGCCTCTGTGGTGATCGTGTGCTGTGGGATCTGGGAGCACGGCCCCCCACTGAAGTGTACTCTACTCTTGTGTTGCAGACATCAGTCAGAGTGCTGACGCCCTGCACGTGTTCCTTCTGATCTGTGGCCTTAGGCAAGTAAAGGACCCTCTGTACTTGGTGGATGCGTTCTCAGGTAAGCTTCTCATGGTCGCCTGACCCCTCCGTGTGCAGGTTTTGGCACCGGGACGGGTCTCAGCCTTTCGAGACTTTGAGGTTTTCCTTCTCATTCTGTGCACAGGAGATTGAGATTCTAGATTGTTGCTTTGGAAAGATAATTTATGGGATTAATATCTCGGCGTAGTAATTTCAGAGTAGTTTACGGCCTGCCTATGTCCTCAGGTCCAGAAGACATCGTAAAAATCGCAAATAATTATAAGGCTAAAAGAATTCTATCAGAAAATGTTTCCAAAGACTCATTTGTACGATGCACCTGCAGTTTTATTGCATTGCCTAAGTTGGTCTACATCACTTTATTCGAAAGTCCATATTGGGTTTTGGGGACACATTAGTCTTAGTTATCCAGTAAATTAGGAATCTGAGCTGTGTACAGCATTATAGGACAAAATGTTATTTAAAAGCATAAGATGTCAACTATTTAAATTCTAAATAAGTGTAATTTATATTGGCTAATGTGATAAATGAAAGAGCAGAGCAATATGAAATAATTTATGGTATGGAGTAATTTCTTAACCTACATTGTATTTCTAGCTGTGACTTAAAGCCTTAAAGCCATTTTAAAAATCTTTTCTTTTTTTTTTTCATTTTTCTTTTTGCTTCCCAAGAATGGCATCAGGAAGAACCCGGGGTTTACCTGGTGATTGTAGGGCCAGAAGTAAGTCCACCTGTGGTGAAGTCCATCTCACCTCCGTTTTCTTCTTTCTACTTTCTTATTTTCTAAGATCAGTTTCTATCACTTTCTAGCCAATGGGCTTTTTTTTGCTCCTTTAAGTAAGTAAATTAGTTTGCCTTTGTTCAAAATGAAAACTAGACCGAGCTTACAGGTCATTACAACAGCAGTGACTCTTTTGTACTTAATTCTTCATAACGATCATGACAGTCAATCTTTCCAACTAATTTATTGCTGCAGGGGTAACTAATAAATCCTTGTGGGAATGCAGAGGGGTCACAGGAAGTTACTTTTAGTTATGTAAAGTAAATGCTGGTCTAAACCCGACATTAATGTGGCCCAGATTGTCTTTGAAACTCCCTTCAATTGCTCTTCTATTCCACATCATTTACAAAAATGCTTGTTTTTACTCCAAATTTGAATTCATGGTTTATCAGGCAGTCTGCAGTGACCTGGGCCTCCTTGGATGAGGTCTGTGTGTGTTTGTGTGTGTCACACCCCACTGAGCGGTCCCCCTGATGAGGCTGCCTCTTTCTCTTTCTTGGGATGAGTCCCTCCCACCCCCACCCCCGGCCAAGGGGGTGGGCCTGACTGTGGTGGTGAGGGGAACCTTCACAGATGTGCTCCCCTATTTTTTTTTTTTTTTGCGGTACTGGAGCTTGAACTCAGGGCCTTCACCTTGAGCCACTCCACCAGCCCTATTTTGTGAATGGTTTTTCAAGATAGGGTCTCACGTACTACTTGCCCAGGCTGGCTTCAAACTGCAGTCCTCCTGATCTCTGCCTCTTGAGTAGCTAGGATTACAGTGTGATCCACCAGTGCCCGGCTCCCTTAAACTTTTGACTCCCCTCAACCCAAGAGGGCGGGCCTGACTATGGGGCGGGGAGATCTTCACAGAGGTGCTCCCCTAACCGCTTGATTCAAACTCCCTTTTCTCCATCACTGTAAAATCTCCCAATAGCTATTAATTTCCACACTCAAGCATTCAATTTACGTCCACTTGTGCATCTGGAGAGAGGAGGAGACTAAAACCATTTTACAGTTGACTTTGAGTATTTGCTGTAGTGTTCGGGGCTCATGTGCTGAAGACTTGGAGGTGGATGTGAGAAGTGGGTGAGAGATCTGGTGCTGGGACCCGTTGGAATTCTGATTTTAGTGGCAATGGAGCAGAGTGGTTTAACCTCCTGAATCTCGCTAATATGGTTGACATCTGATACCAGTGCACTTCTCTTTGGTCCATGTCTTGCTTTGCTCACTGCAGAGCGAGCGGCCAAATAAGCACTTAGGGTAGAAATGGGACACTCGTGGAGCTGGCTTTCCCAGGTCATGGCCTGAGTTTATCTGTGCAAAATTGCACTGACGTAGCTAAGCCACGTGCCATGAAGCAGCCCTCAGGTTGGGGTCAGGGAATAACTGCAGCGCACGGCAGAGGTGACTCCCTGTGTCCATTCTTTCCATGGAGCCCTGTCATGAGAGAGACTCCTGGGGAAGGCACTGCCAGTTCATGCCCGTGCTTGAGAAAGGGAGTCTGACGTCAGCCAAAGGACGTAAGCGAAGAACACAGGAAGAAGCAGGTGAAGCTGAGTGCCTGCAAGGGGAGAGCCACCCAGAGCTGCACACCCGGGAAGGAAGAGCCCCACCTCCTTCTTAGGGCCCTACATCATTCATTCCGCTTAGGGCTCAGGGCCCGGGAAGTGGTATCAGACACCCGCTCAGGTCACACCCTGCACTTTTGTAAGAGAGGGCAGGTCCCCAAGGTCTCAGCAGACCCTCTCCCCCAGGAAGAGGCACAGAAGGGTCCCCAAGAAGGTGGAGTGCTGGTGCATGGGCACTGAATGGTCAAAGCAAATAAAAAGATGCTTATATACAGACGGAATCTCCATCCGTTTCACCAAGAATCAAACAAAAGGGTTGAAAGTTAGTTTTCCCAATCAGGCAATGGAATATGGTGCCTTTTTCTCGGCTCCTGTGTGTGTCCTAGAGCTGCAAGTTTGCTTTTGTAGCAGCGAAAATTGCACCCAGCTGGTAAACTTCCAGGGAACTGTGTCACCTTTTATGGACCTGCTGACCTGTGATGGAGACTGTAAACAGAAGGTTCATAGGGGACCCCGGTGTCTTCACACACTTCCTTGGTCATTCACCACCTGCATCCATCTGCCTGTATAGGTGTCTGTGTCTTCTACATCTGTATATTAGTGTTTCTTCTACATCTATTCCTTCCTTACCCAGTCCTTTTGGAAGGAAGGACATACTGAGTGTCTGTGTTTCAGGCACGTGGGCACGTCCCAGCAAAGAGAACAGCCGTGTTCCCTGCCCTCCAGTCAGGGGGACAGGCCTGGGGGCCAGTCTCAGCAGGCTGCACGTGTTTCACCCTGGGCGACACAGAGCTGGGTGCCTGTTGTGTGTTCATCAGCACTGACCATTTCCTGTGACCTAGTCAGTGGCAGCTGCACCTTACCACAGCCGTCTTGAATATCATCACTCTGTGCTTTAATTGACTTTTTTTTACATTATTGGCCTCAGTGTCTTTTATTTGTATGAATTAATTGTGCAAAGGGGTTTCACTGTCATACGTCCACACATACAGATAATATGCTGTGATCAAATCCACCCCTTCTGTTACTCCTTCTTATCTCCTTCCCCTGTTTTTTCAAAACAATTTTAATTTTATTCTGTTCTCATCCATGCGTATAAAATACTTTGATCATCTACTCTACAACTGTTTACAATGTAGCAGAGTGGATGTCTTAGATGGCTGGTGGTCGATAACTTCTTTGTGTTTTAATTTTAAGAGACCGAGCATTTGTCTGGTTTTGCTTAATCTTAGCAATAACTTTTTAGAAAGCCGGGTTCACCATCCCATCTGGAAACCCTCAAGGTTGTTACCTGCTGGCCCATGGGCAAACACCTTTGGGCCAAAACTGTCCAGGTGTGAGAAGGGGAGTGTGGTGGAAGGTTGCATGTACATTGGACTCTGGGGCCAGTTACCTGAGTACTTATGATGTAGCCTCTCGTGCCTCAGTGTCCCCATCTGTAAAATGGGGATATGCAAGACACAGTACCTCCCTTGCTGTTCACTGTGAGGTCCTGTGAGTAAAATCTGCAGTGCCTGGCACACAGGTGGCATCGGGTGTGTGATGAATGACAGAACTGACCATTGGAGGGATGGTTCCTTTCTGCCCCTCTGGATGCTCTGAGCCTGGCTTTGGTGCTCCATTACAGCACTTTGGCCTCTCTGTTCTCCATTCCAGCCAAGCGCACGGCTCCTGCTCGCTCTCGGGCATCTCGTGTGACTCATTTCTGGGACTCTGATAAGTAAGGAGTGCAGAGGGGACATTTGGTGTGGGCATGACAGCTTAATGACTTTCCCCTGTAACTTCTTCTATCAAAGATTATTTCCCCGAAGCCTGGCATTGAAACAATATCTTTTGCTAGAAAATAAACAAGCTTGGAAGGAGGAAATGAGAATTTCCTCGGCTGCTTGTTTTTTTTTTTTTTTTCCTTTCAAAATTTCCTAACGTGCTTTTTCATTAAATAAAAGTACCCCCCCCCCTTCCTTTCCTCTTTATCTTGTGTTTTGTTCCACTTGGCTTCACTAAGAGATTTGAAAAGGAATCGGTGTGAAGAGAAGGCCCAGAGAAACGCATTGCAGTTTGTAGCGCTGGCTTAAGAGCTGCTGCTAGATCTTCAGCAAAATTTCAGTTAAAGCTAAAGCGGTAGATACTTCAGCCGCCTCAGAAAATGTCGTTTCTTCGCTTGACAAAGTACCTGTCCCCCAAGAGTTAATCATGAGCACCGAGGCATGCAGTGGAACTAGAAGGAGGAGTTTCTAGCTGAAATTATTGTAACTAATGTTAATATGAACATTACTGTGTAGAGTAAATCAGGCTTTCGTTGCACTGTTGACTTTTTCTTGTGAGATGCTAGGGTTACAATGCAATTAATTCAGTTGTGTGAAAGGCCCTTCTCTTAGCAGAGATTTCCAGGCACAGGACAGTGGGCCAGGCCCTGTGCCTGGCCTGGGTGGTGACGACAGAGGTGGAGAGGGGAGAACACAGTGTCATGGGTGTCAGCCCCACTGTGGCCGGTGCTGGGATGGTTTGAAGAGGTGATGGTACTGCAGGGCAGGACCATTGGGGAAAGTGTCTTGGAGCAGGTTTGGGGGATCAGGGCATTCCTGGAAAGACTGGGATGTAGGTGCAGATGGGGATTAATGAGTGAGTGAGTAAGTAGGTGGGCACTCCATTTTCTGAGCCATTGATGAAACACCTCGAGCAGAGGGGCAGGAGAGCCTGGTTTTAAGAACCCAGCCTGTAGAGTCAGGACTTCCTGGATTTGAATAATGGTCCAGTATCTTCCAGTTGTGTGATCATGGCGAAGTTACCCAAACTCTCTAGCTTCCATCTTCATTGTCAAAGGGGATGATGACAGCAGGGTTGTTGCCAGAAGTAAGTTAATGTATGCAAGGGCTTAGCACAGGTTTGGCCTAGAGTAAGTGGCTGTTGAATACTAACTATGAATAGCTATAACAACAATAGATATAAATTGCTCATGGCTATATATTTTTCTCTCCAAAGATCTTCCTAGGAGTCATTTCAAGTTTCTCATGCATCCACATTTGATTCAGGCTCGCAGAGCAAATTCTCAGTGATGTAGCAGCCTTGGAGGACTAGCTACACCTAGCATTTCCAGCCCCTTGGGGTAAACCTCAGAGATCCCGGTAGTCTGAATGACTTGGGGCTCAACACATGCACAGTGAAACATTTCCTTGTGAGAAGAAAGAGAAGTCAAGCTCCTAGAAACAGCCAACTGGCATCATAAACCCACTTTGTAAATCGGCCTGGCTTGGAATTGGTGCTGCCTCCTGGAGAAGCGTGAGAACAGAAGTTGACTGCTCTGCCTCCTGGCCCATCAGGAGGCACATTTGGAAGAGCCTGAGGACACTGGGATCTTTGAAGTGGCATCTTTGAAGAAATGTCTGGAATTTTGTGTTATACATTAAGGACATTTGTTCAGTCATCAGAACATTGAATTCTTCATTGAGGACGGCAGTGTGGGAGAGATCAAAGGGCTAGGTCACAGTCTATTGGGTGATTCAGACGTGATAAATACGTGCTGTAGCTTCATCCTGTGAAGACTTGGACAGGGTCCTTGTGGTCCCTCAGTACGGTAACCCTCCTGGGGTAGGTCATTGCCCCTCAGAGCCACTGTGAGGCTTTGGGGTCAGCAAGGTATACTGGGTCTCTCAGGGCATCCATTGCCCTCAGGCGTCCATGGGCGTCTCTTTCCCTCTCAGCCAATCCTGGAGTGTTCAAGGGCATGCCAGCCTCACTGGGGAGGGGAGAAGGCGTTCATACAGGTTATCCTTGACTTCCCATGGGGTTTCTCCCCGATGAACCCCATTCTAAATTGAAAATCTCCTAAGTAGACGTGCGTTTAATACAATACACCTAACCTACCAAGTGGTGTAATTTGGCCCAGCCTACCTTGAACTTGCAGGTAGGCTTCCAGTGGCTTCCAGTTGGGCGTTTGCTAATATGGAGTCTGCATGAAATCAGAATGGTCCCAAGGGCACACTCTTCACCAGTGTAAAGTAGAAAAGTCAAGCTATTGTACATCGGGGACCCCCTGCGGACGTGTTTGTGTTGGGAGCACAGTCTGTAACTCTCGCTCTAATTTTTCTAGGAGGGCTTCCATATCTTAGGTTTTCCTTCTCATAGTTGCCCTAGCAGTTACTGTGACCAGGCACAGTTCTAAGAAGCACTTGAAGTGCTTTAGCTCCGTTAATCCTCCCCATTAACAGAAGGGGAAACTGAGACCCCGAGAGGTTCACTCATGTGCTCAGGCTGGACCATGTTACTGCCTTTCTGGCCTCTGTACGCTTCTGTCTGCATTTGCTTAAGAGCACGTGACCTGTCTTCAAAGAGTAAAATATTAATGCCGTACTGGATTAGTTTGAAAATATTGTCATTAATTTTTGTGTTAATTTAACAACCTCCAGGGATGTGGTGCTCCAAAGGCCAGTCCCTGCCCCGAAGGATATGAAAGAAGAGTAAAATCCTGACTCAAGGACATTAGATTGGGACTACATAAAAGGTTGCAGGTGGTTTTTGAAAAGTTAAGATAGAATTCGCATGCCATAAAATTTACCAGTTTGAAGTATACCATCCAGTGGTTTTTAAGGTGTTCACAAAGTTGTGTAATCAGCACCCCTATCTGATTCCACCATGTTTCTTTCACCTCCGGCTGATACTCTGCATCCATTAGTTAGTCAGTCATTTCCTGTCTCCCCTCCCCCACCACTTAGCCCCTCACCAGCCCCTGCCCACTAATCTGCTTTCTGTCCCTGGGAATTCGCCTGCTCCAGATGTTTCATGTAAACAGAATTGCACACGGTCTTTTATATATATATATATATATATATATATATATATATATATGCAGGCTCTCTGCCAGCCCCCACGCAGTCTTTTACATCTGGTTTAATTTATGTAGCATTACGTAGCATTTTGCTCTCAGGTTTCTCCTGTGTCCTAGCATAAGTCAGTTCTTCCTGTTCATGGCTGACTCATTCTCCCTCGTATGGATGCCACTGTTTGTCATTCATCCGTCAGCTGATGAATACGGCTTTGCCTTTAAAATTACATTTCTGAGAAAGCTCCCGGTTAAACATTTTGATGCTATAGATGCTTTGCCATGCATAGACTTAGTGAGGGGTCCTACACTTCCCATCTGAAAGTTTTTAGGGCAACATCCCTTTGCATGACTTCAGCAAGCAAACTTTCAGTGCAGGATTGTGCAGTAGGTGACTCATTTGAAGCTGTCAGATGTTTGAAAGGCTCCCTTGTACCTTCCGGCATGCAGAACCTCATCCCTCCTTTTCTTCTTTGAATTGCTATTAGTTTTATTAGGTAATTGCTGGGCTCAGATTATAATGTCTTCTTTCCTGCTTTCTTTCTTTCCAAACTTTCGGGTCTGGTGCTGTTGCCATTATGTGTGATTCTCCAGATTCGTGAACTCACTTCAAGCTTCTCCTCTGGTCTTTCTTTGTCTCTCTCCTCTCAGGTGGATCCAGAGTTTACAAGAGAAGTCAAAGCCAAAGTGAAAAGGTGAGAGGAGAGGACAGGCTTCTGCAGAAGAGGAAACTCGAGTGGTCAGGAAATCACACTGGTTCGCATTCAGTCACCAAGCCCCGAGTCAGGCACTTTGCAAGTACAGCCTCAGTCAGTCCTCAAGATCCAGCCAGGTCCCATTCTGCCCCATTGCACAGGCAAAGACTCACAGGTGGAGAGTGCAAGGTGTCCAGTGTCCTCATCAGGGCAGGCCAGTGAAAAGCACTTGGAGGTGATAATTTTCACCATTGCACTAACAAAAATTTGGAAAGCTTTAAAACATCAAGTGTTGGAGGAAAACTGTGTTGTCTCCTAACTGCTGGTGAAGGTGAGAATTGCTACCACCTCTTGGAGAGCAATTGTCAATGTATTGGTTATAAATTGCATTTGTCTGCCAACAACAGAGACGCAGTCACACTGGGTTGAACAAGTTGAGACTGAATTGCTCACATAACAAAATCTGAGCTTGGCATGGTGGCACACACCTGTAATCCCAGTACTTGGGTGGCCAAGGCAGGAGGATTGAATCCTATCTCAAAAAAAAATTAAAAATTAAAAAATCTGAGAGTAGTTGGTTGAGGACTGGAGTGCTGCTTTATTGAGACTTGCCTTGGGTGCCTCTGTTTCTGTCCTGACACCCTTGGCCTGTGGCTTCCATCCTTTGAGTGACAAGGTAGCCGTAGGACTTCATCCACCATATTCTGCAGTTAAATGGAGACAGAAATGGACAAGGGCCAGAAGGAGCCCTGTCTCATTTAGCTCAGCCTGGGGGACTTCCTCCCAGCCTCCAGGACCCTATCTGTGTCTCACCCTAAGCAAAGGGGTGGGGATCCATGGGTTTTATTCCTGTGTGTAGTCAGGGCTCTGCATATGGTTCATAGATGCAGACACAAGGGTGTAAAAGCTCAGCCCATCATGTCAGAGGGTGGGGGTCACAGCCATGACTGTGGTCGTGAGTGCTGGGGACAGGAAGGAGCGCCCAAGAAAGGCATGGATTGATACTGTTTGATGGAGAACTCAGGACAGAGCAAGATCTGAATGGCAGCCCCTCCGTCAGCTCTGGGTCATGGGAATGTGTTGCTTCTGTAACATTTTTCTCTCTCTCTCTCTCTCCACTCATTATTTCTATTAATTATTCCCTCTATTAGTGTCATTAAAATTATTTCAAAAGGGTTGAATTATTAGAACTTTTAAGTCCTACAGAAGAAATGGCAAAAAGCATTACCTCTGACTCCTTCAGTGTCGGAGAGCATGTGTCAGGTGTGTTGTGCTTATTCAAAATGGAAACAGACGTGTCACAGGTGTGTCCCTCACTGGGTCATGGACTGTCACAAATGCTCTGGTGACTATATTGCTGACTGTCTGATCTGGAGTATTTCTCCAAAGTTGTCCACATCACCTCTACTCTGCCCCCATAGATGGCCAGAAGCAGCCCTCTTTCTCTCTCCCTCTGCCATTTCAGGGCCGCCGGGGTGCGGCTGGTGGGCGAGATGCCCCAGGAGGACCTGCACGCAGTGGTGAAGAACTGCTTTGCACTAGTGAACAGCTCTGTGTCTGAGGGCATGTCAGCTGCCATCCTGGAGGTGAGCATAACACGGGTATGGGTGGGATGGGAATATGACCTTTTCTTCAACCCCTCCTCTTATTGATGGAGGTGACATCTTTGTCCATAAAGCCATGCCCTTCTTAGTGCGATCAGAGCCCAGCACCTTTGCTGGTAGAGTCTCTAAGTACTTTTGAAGTTCTGCCTGGGATTCCAGACTCTTGTTTTACTCCTCATTGGCAGCTGTAGAATGAAATTATGCTGGGGCCATGGCCTCTGTGACCCTCTGAATCCCTTTGACCAGGAGGAGCTGAGCACATGAGAAAGGTGACAGTGCTTCTTCTGCTTTGGCCAGAGGTGCTCGTCCCAGCACAGCTCTGCCTGGGAGTCAGAGCTGTCTGTGTGGTGCTGGGCCAGGTTGCAGTCAGAGGCTCTGCTGGACATTGTCACCCCCATAGAGGGACATGAGCCTCTCTGCAATGAGCCCTTGACATCTGATCTCCTCACACCTCTTCTCCCCGATTAAGGGATATTGGGATATGACATTTTTACCAGAGTATCTTAACTGCTTCCCACTAGGTCCTTGAATTAGTCTCTGACATCTGTCTGACACACAGGGTTTCCCTGCTCTGATGGAGGGCGTGGTTCAGCCTCTTGTCTGGAGCACCATTCGGCACCATCTTCATGTCCTTAAAACACTGGGCTGAGCGTGCATGCACCTCTGAGAGCTCCTGCAGGTGCACAGCACACAACAGGTGTAGTGCACACATGTGTCTTGGAGCACAGGAGAGAACCTACTGCAGAAGGGCAGGTGTCTGGCCTGGGTTCCCGAGGCCATCCAGCCCACCTTCACATGTTCTTTCTTCCTACGTGCATTTCTCACTCCAGTGTCCACTTTCACCAATGCTCTGATTTTATCCTAAGCATCTGTGGTCCCATTTATTCCCACGGAGACTATTTGGACGAACTGCATTTATAGCAAAGGGACAATTTCTAAACCTTTGTGTTCCAGAGACTGTGGCAAAGTAGGAAAAAAATCCTCTCCCTAAATTTGGGAAATGATGGATGCTGTATGCCTGATGTTTTCTTTCTAAACCAGCAAAACACTCAAGAAAACACAAGGGAGGTCCAAGTTGCTGCACACCTGTGACCGTGAACTCAGTCTTTGAAGGCACACGGCACAACTCTGTAACCTGCCAATCTTCAGCCAGGTGCCAGTACCTGAATCTGGGTTTATGCTTAGCTTTAATCTCCAATGTGCTTCCTGCCACAGTCCTTGCCGCAGTATCTTAGTTTTTGCATCAGTTTTGAAAAGGTACCTTCTTAGCCTGCCAGTATTGAGCACCTGCTGAATGCTGCCTTGTATGGAAACACAGCTTTTTTTTTTTTTTAAACTTCTCAACAAAAGGATTTATAACTAGCACACATAGCATTGCCTTGCAGATGGGTCACTGTCAAACCTCACTTACTTCCAGGAAAAGGCAGCTGTTAGCAATTCTGACGGCCTTAAAACGTTGATGTCATGTTCCGTTTGAAGCGTCCAAAATAACCTTTGTGCAAAGGATTTTGAATGAAACTGATTTTCGGGAGTGGCAAGGGTGCATTTCATTAGAACCAATTCAAATGACTAGCATGGTTAGTCATGGGACAAATGCACTCACTTCTGAAGTGGGGGCTCTTTTGACCTTGCAGAATCTGCTGATTTCCCACGAAGCATGTACAGTCCCACTCACTACAACACGTTCTTACTGATAAACTCTGCAAATCAAACCTCAGCTGGATGCATGGTGCTAGGGAGGGCTTTCCTAAATAAAACCAGTCACTTCAAGTTTGAGCCTATTGTGGAGGTGAGCCCTGCGTAGAACTGCGGACAGAATGTAAAGAATTCTCTTCTTGCACCAGTCTTCCTAACTGGCTCTCCTCCCCACCCAGAACTCGCACGCAGACGCACAGAGAGACACAGATAGATAGACAGACACATACACACATACACACACAGAGTCCTGTCCAGGTCAGGTTTTGCCACCTGAGAGAGAGGAGGCCTGTGCTCCAAAGCTAAAAGCAAGAAGGAGCCACTCCTTGACCTCTTAGCAGGCAGATCCCAGCCCTAGTGATCCAAGAGCCAGGTAAGAGCTATTCAAAAGACCGTTGCAACCGTGGGGCCCGTGACTATCCTAGCTGTTTGGGGCACTGAGTGATGAGAGGATAGTGGTTCAAGGCCAGCCTGGGCAAATAGTTCTACAGACTCCATCTTCAAAATAACTAGAGCAAAATGAACTGGAGTGTGGCTCAAGCATGAAGCCCTTGAGTTCAAACCCCAGTCCCACCAAAAAACAAGAAACAAAACAACCCCACGCCATTGGGAGTATGTGACGTTTAACTTTGACTGGCGTCCAGGTGTGTGTGTGTGTGTGTGTGTGTGTGTGTGTGTGTGTGTGCAGTGCAGGGTCTCTGGAGTTGTACTCATTAGAAAGATGCTACTGGAATTTATTTGGAGTTTGGAAATCTGTAGCAGGCAAAGAATGTTTCAAGCTGCCAGGCAGTCCTTGATATCAAATAATTGTACCCAAAATATTGTCAGCACCCCCATGGACAAACACTCTTGGCTCAGTGATGCAGGACCCTGGTGCACTCTGCACGTATCAACGCTGCACTGAGACCATGTCATTCCCAAGTGACAAGCGATGCTCGCTGGACACACTGGTGGTCAGCCATTAAAAATGCAAGCAGAGAAAGTCCAGACCAGGCAGTTTTCAGCTTTGTGTATCAGAAGTGCCCAGCAGCTTAACAAGCCACCCAGGTCACACAGGTGAGGGCCATCTCTCCCAGAACGGCCTTCCTTGGTTTTGGGGTGAGACCCTGGCAGCTGAGTTCTCAGTTTCTCTGCTGTGTGAAATAAAGACAGTCTCTGTGTGAACCGTGGCTGGCTCTGCTGAAGATGACGTACTGGCTGCAGAGATTTTTAAAGGGGTTCCACCCACCTGACAAGAGGGAACATATGAAGTCGGGGGTTCGGTCCCAGTAGCTGTTGGACATGTCTTGTGTTCTGAGACTCCACGAATGTGCTCCAGGCGTCTGGCTCGTCCACCTCCCCTCTCCCTGCTCACGATCCACTGTGCTCTGCAAAGGAACACATCCGTCTCTAAACCCTGTCTAGCACAAGCCGCTGGCAGCCTCAGCTCCCAGGGCCAGCGTCATTCTAGTCTCCTATTCTGGGAGCCGCTCTGTTCTTAAGACTTTTCCACTCTTAAAGACATAGCTGTGGGTTGCTGCAGATGGCTTCAGGATTGGTTTGCAGTCGACGTCCAACCCTCAGACTCCATCGAAGCACCCCCTGTCACCACATCACAACCCGGGGAACATCCTCCCTACTGAATGGAGTTTTTCTCCAACAGGACCACGTCTCAGCACCCCTGGGTCCTCCCCCAGATAACTATTCAGTACGAACTGCGTAATTGTGGTCTTTCATTCAACACACATACTCTGAGTGTCTGAGAGGAGCTGGCCCTGGGCTGTGCTCTACAGAAACAGCCGTGAGCAAGACACGACCAGGTCCTTGTCCTCTTGAATTCACTTCCCCGTGAGGGATGGCAAGAAAGGCAGAGAAGGAGGCAAGAGGCACACAATCCAAATTGACATGGACTTTGAGGAATCTTTTTTTTATTTTTATTCATATGTGCATACAATGTTTGGGTCATTTCTCCCCCCTCCTCCCACCCCCTCCCACCCCCCTCCCCCCACCCCCTCGATACCCAGCAGAAACTATTTTGCCCTTATTTCTAATTTTGTTGTAGAGAGAGTATAAGCAATAATAGGAAGGAACAAGGGTTTTTGCTGGTTGAGATAAGGATAGCTATACAGGGCATTGACTCACATTGATTTCCTGTGCGTGGGTGTTACCTTCTAGGTTAATTCTTTTTGATCTCACCTTTTCTCTAGTTCCTGGTCCCCTTCTCCTATTGGCCTCAGTTGCTTTAAGGTATCTGCTTTAGTTTCTCTGCGTTAAGGGCAACAAATGCTAGCTAGTTTTTTAGGTGTCTTACCTATCCTCACTCCTCCCTTGTGTGCTCTCGCTTTTATCATGTGCTCAAAGTCCAATCCCCTTGTTGTGTTTGCCCTTGATCTAATGTCCACATATGAGGGAGAACATACGATTTTTGGTCTTTTGGGCCAGGCTAACCTCACTCAGAATGATGTTCTCCAATTCCATCCATTTACCAGTGAATGATAACATTTCGTTCTTCTTCATGGCTGCATAAAATTCCATTGTGTATAGATACCACATTTTCTTAATCCATTCGTCAGTGGTGGGGCATCTTGGCTGTTTCCATAACTTGGCTATTGTGAATAGTGCCGCAATAAACATGGGTGTGCAGGTGCCTCTGGAGTAACCTGTGTCACAGTCTTTTGGGTATATCCCCAAGAGTGGTATTGCTGGATCAAATGGTAGATCGATGTCCAGCTTTTTAAGTAGCCTCCAAATTTTTTTCCAGAGTGGTTGTACTAGTTTACATTCCCACCAACAGTGTAAGAGGGTTCCTTTTTCCCCGCATCCTCGCCAACACCTGTTGTTGGTGGTGTTGCTGATGATGGCTATTCTAACAGGGTGAGGTGGAATCTTAGCGTGGTTTTAATTTGCATTTCCTTTATTGCTAGAGATGGTGAGCATTTTTTCATGTGTTTTTTGGCCATTTGAATTTCTTCTTTTGAGAAAGTTCTGTTTAGTTCACTTGCCCATTTCTTTATTGGTTCATTAGTTTTGGGAGAATTTAGTTTTTTAAGTTCCCTATATATTCTGGTTATCAGTCCTTTGTCTGATGTAAGCTGGCAAATATTTTCTCCCACTCTGTGGGTGTTCTCTTCAGTTTAGAGACCATTTCTTTTGATGAACAGAAGCTTTTTAGTTTTATGAGGTCCCATTTATCTATGCTATCTCTTAGTTGCTGTGCTGCTGGGGTTTCGTTGAGAAAGTTCTTACCTATACCTACTAACTCCAGAGTATTTCCTACTCTTTCCTGTATCAACTTTAGAGTTTGGGTC